CCCACTGGGTTACAGTCCAACTCTTTGTTCTTTCGGGGCCTACATATCATTATGTCAAAAACTGCAGTGCCCTCACAACTTACCGTCATGTTTCCCGATGCTTTATCGGTTCAGATTGTGCACAATAAATCGTTGAGAGGGCTGTGATCACGACAAGTGGCAACACCGCGTAAAGATGTTTCTCCTTCCTTGACAAATGATTGTTTACTTCGCAGCCTTGAATTACGCAAGACATCGGCTTATCTGATTGGTCAAAGTTGAGACACACCCCCAAATACTTATAGCTGATTGGTGAAAGTGAATACGTCATTTTTGCTGTCGACAAATCACCGACTTGTTTTACATCACCTGGTCAAATATGCATCTCTGATTGGTTAATTGGAGGAAACGCCCCCAGGAGAAACCCAGACCGGTTTGTACCTGTTCGCGCCGGCCGGGCAGCTGTGCTTTGCTTTGTCCAGTCTTCACCATGCTCCTCTGGGTTGCTAAAAAATTGTAGAAATTGGTGAATATTACTTGCTAGAGGAGATACAAATGGGTTTTAATTGCGTAACTCAATGGGGGTTATTTTCTATGGAAAAATGTAAACCTATTTAGGACGAAATTTGACTATTTTATTCATCAATCAATCCAAGGAAGGGACCTGATATGATGGAGACTAGCGCTTTGGGCACAAAGTACAGTACAGTACACAGATATACACATGCACGTGCAGGCTTCAGAAATAGAGAAAATTCAAAAGACGCATAAAATCAGGACAAAATCGTTCTAGGATGTGCATGGGTTTAATAGTTATTTAGTTGAAAAACAAATGGAAGATATCTGATACTGGTGGATTGTCCTTGCATCACGAAAGTTGAGACAAAAGAAACGTCATATTTGGATAAGCAGGAAACCTTTCAAGGCTTGCAAACAGTTGATAGGCATCAGCAGCTCTATTTTCATTGGCACAAAGCGGAAAATCGGTTCAGGTATCCCTGCCACCACAGTTTAATTGCCACAAAGTGACAGAGGGATCTAGAAATTGTCACAACTCGACTGAAAACATTATGTGTGATCAAAGGCAATTAAGTTCCAAAATACAGCGAGATTTTCTTATCAGGGCTCGCTGTTAGAAACATACGTTGCACTTTTTTTATGTATCAAAAACGAAGTTCCCGCTGTGGTCGATAGCCTTTGAACTTGAAGTGTGTATCTGCAAACGCAAACCACACATGTGAAGACACCACTAAAGTTGAGAGCAGGGTTTGAGACACTTCACTCTCATTATTAAACCCTATATACACCAGATCCTTTGTACAAGTTAACCAGGTACAACTCAAGCTGAGCCCGTTAAAAAGGTGTGTCATGATTGGCGGCCTTTTGCTGGAAAATAGCCCGGGGAAAAGTTTGTTATGTGCCAAGCCCTCTTGGATTTTTCCGCTCTCAGCAGCTGAATAATGGAAAATTCCACTGAAGGGGCGACGGTATTCTGTTATGGGTATGGTCAGCCTTCACTCCAGAGTTATTCCCACCATAATCAAAATCGTACACACATGATTCACGATTGACATTGCTATACAAAAATACAGTAATGGTCCTAGGTGTTTTGATTGTTTTGTTTGGACGAAGTTAGTAATCGTTATAAATCGTCGCCCCCGGATGCAAGTGGTGCAGTCCAGAATCAAAATGCCGCCATGTTGATGGCATCACCTTTGTGGAAGCGGGAGCGGATAAACAATGGCCCTGAAGAAACCAGTGCCGGTCCAGACCTCTTCTTCCTACCGCCAGTCCCGCAAGATCGCCAGACGAGAAGATGAGGAGAAGCCGGAGGAGCTGCTGGTGTTCGGCTACGCCGCCAAGCTGTTCCGAGACGACGAGAAGGCCCGGTACCTGGACCGGGGGAAGCACCTCATCCCGTGGATGGGCGACACTAGTTTGATGATCGACAGGTCTGTTGAAATCTCCCGCCGGCAGACCTTTTACTTGAGAATCTTCAGCGACCGTTGATCGAGAATACAGAGTAGCCTTTAAAAGGTTATTTGCATAATTCCAGTGTAGTCCTATTGTGTACGTGTGAAAAAGAAAAAGCCGCAGAGAGAGACGGTCACTACTTTAACGTCACGCAAACTAACCGGTGCTTTAGTGTAAATGCTCGAGGTAAATGTGGGCCAAACCAAAATCCACACTTCCCTCGCCACGTTGATGTGCTGTGCTATATATTAACTCTCGCCAGCTTTTCTCTACAGACATTGGCAGCCAGCAAGGGAGGGGCAGACTGCATCTTTTTCTGTTTCTTTTATTTTTTCCCTCCCCTTTGAATCCATCTAAAATGTTTCCAGGACTTGTTTAGGTCTCACACCAGGCAGGATGTGAGATGGACAAGTAGGGCGAAGCTGCATACCCAGGGACAAAGCAGCAGTGCGTGAAGTCATGGGAGAAATACAGGTGACAGATCATACGTGGGATGGTAACTATAACACATGAAAATGTCGTATATATCCTATACGATTCCTTCTGTTCAGTTCCTCCCAGGACTTGCGAAGCTGCGTGGCAGTCGTTTGATTTTTATGGGGTAAATTGGCATCGTTCCAACTGTGATGGTCATCATTTTTTGCGGGAGAGCGCAGTTAACATTTTTGAAGGCACTTTCATTAAAAACAGAAATGCATGACAAGCTATGATCCATTTCAATGTGACAGGCTGCCACATAGCTTCTGTTTTGATTGTGAGGTGAGTACTATTGTTGTATATACAAGTATTACAGTTTCACATGAGGTGCTCCAGCTACTGTCATTGATGGTTGCTGAGGTCAATGACCTTTCCATGATCAAGAGTTTCATGTACCACGTTCTTCACCACTTGAAATGGGAGATACCATAGGTCAGAAGGACAGAGGTGACATTCAGGTCAGCCGATGGTCAGTAGGGCCTGTACGTGTGTACAGATTATCTCGCCACACTGCCGAGGCTTAGTCAGCACTGTACGGCATGCCAAGGATTGGCCAGGATATTTCTGTTGTTTGGTTTACACTATCAGCATCACCCCGAAAGAATTAATTTTCATTAATTCATCTGCAGAAAATGGAAGAAAAAGACAGCTTACAATGCAACAAAGATTTACTACATGTACTTAGCATATGGAGACCTATGCCTGTTCAGTTTGTTTGTTTCGTACCTACTTGTGATATTTGGTGAAATCCAGCCTTACACTTGTTGGTCAGTTTGGCATTTGGTCTCCTGTCACTCCACATTTGAACCACATATTGGCCCGAGTCACTCCAAGGCTCTAAATTTTTTGTATAGGTCCTTTTGTCTGGCCACTAGGCCTTTGCGTCGGTCACAACCAACTTCACACTCGAAAGGCGTGCTTTCATAGTATCTGGAAAATGTTGTGGCGAGAATAGTGATCATTGGTGAAAGACAACAGCGGCATTTTCGCGTTGCAAGATGTGGAGCGTCTGCATGCCACAAAAGCCTAACGTTGATACGCCAGTCAACTCTCTGTCACACTGAACCGCAAGCCTTTGTTGTGGCTTTTTACATTACCAAAATGCTGCCATGCAAATTGCTGCTTTGTGACACCAGATCTCAATACATGGGGTTTAGCCAAACTTTAGGAATAGGAGGACAGTTTCTGAATAATGTTGCACAGTAAACAGATCATGAATGAAATGCATTTTTGGCAATTTTTAAATTTGTCACCATTTATAATGGGTTGAAGGGTATCAACTTCTCCCATTCAAAAGAACAAAAAGTCCAGCCTTAAAAATTTAAATGGTCATAAAAAAAGGTGTCATATGTAAGATGCCCATGGCTAAGTGCCTTGCCTAAATGTTTATATAATGAGCTGTTTTGTAACCAAAGTTGATAAGAATGACTCTAGGTTTTGTTGACATTGTGACGCATGTAGTGTAGCCTTTGAAGCTAAATCTTGACCATTTCAACAGCTGTAACTACCTGCCATATATTTTAAGAGTTGCAGCACCATTTAGAAATTTGTTTGCACCTAAAAATTTCTCGTATGACAACATCGGAACTTTTCCATGCAAGACAGAAATTTAGAACCATTTCCCTTTTCACCAATGAGGCGTAGGTCATTCTTTTTGTAGCCCAGGTATGGTATGTAGTTCAAGTAGACCCTTTCCCTTGAGACTAGGCAAATGAAGCATGCACACATTGTGCAGCCACAAAACCCTTGAACTCTCACTATTATTAAGCATTCCTTACATCTACCAACCACTTAGGAACTGTGTAATGCCAAAGCACATCGCCTAGCCCTTACAGGCCAACATTTCAATTCTTATCTCGACACATTCTTAGCATCTTACAATCAGTATCTGGAGCATCATTCAGTTATCACCATCAACCCTCAAGGTGTCTGAGGTCATTTCTAGCAGGAAATTTCTAAGGGTCTCTTTGAAGACAAGAATCTAGAAGTCATGAATAACGTATGATGTGTTAACTGATGTTGATGATTTGTCTGTCGTGAGGTGTTGAGTACACTGCGGTGTATTTCCTAACATAGGCCTTTGTTTCGGCACTCCTGTAGGTACGATGGACGGGGATATTTACATGACCTTTCACAATATGAAGGGGAATGGTTCTCCAAGCACAAACTGTCGGAGGAAGAGGCGCGAATCGAAGCCCTCTGCGACGAGGAAAGATACCTCGCGCTGCACAAAGACCTTCTAGAGGAAGAGGCTCGGCAAGGTTAGTTTACATTGTTGTGTTAGGCCACACCAATTTAATTTGTAGGTTCACGGATTCACCCGCTTCAATTTTTTTCTGATTTGCAAAAAAAAAAAAACATTTCAGCTCCAAAATGCTCATATTTTGGCTCCAACAGTTGAAGGAAGTCCCTTCTCTTCAGAATCATTACAATTTTTCCAGCTATTAATGCAGTGGTTTGATTAGAAATTAGAAATTCATTGTTTGAAGTACAAACCAGCCTGGTATGTTGACTTCATGGCTCCTATCATAGCAATGCTGCATTTGGGGCTATCATAGGATGTCTAGATATGTTTTTATTTTATTTTTTCACTCTGTCACTTCATATTTTTTGGATATAATCCAGGAACCAACAAATCAAATTGGTGTGGCCTTAGTGATGTCACAACATCCCCATGGATTAGTGTAGACCACAATCACTACACTGTTCCCATTGACTAAATGTTTTTGCTATGGCAGGAAGACCTTGAAGCGTAACAAATTGTCAAGGTTGTAACCTCCATTAAAACCTCCCCTACATTTCTACACATGACTCTTCGATAAGATTTTGACCAATACTACTTCTATTGACTTTATGATATGCTATATAATATCAATTTTTTCACTGTTTGGTTGTAGCTTTCACAGTATGGTTTTCCTTTTTGTTATGTTTAAGAAGCATAACTGTTCTGTCATATTTGACACCAAAACCCCATATTTGACATCTAGAAATAATTGGAGGAACTCAATTGGAAAATTAGGTAACAAGCTGAACCAGCTGCCACTTAATTCAGCCTGAGGATGATTACATTAGCCTGATAGTCAACCTCACGAGAAGAAGTGCAAGATTTTTGTTTTGATCAAAGCTACTTTTGAAAGTGAAGTGGGCAAAGGAAGTGGTCTAAAACATTTTGTATAGCTATTTAGCTAGCTTTCATCCCATTATCTTACCATAAATACATTTTAGAGAGCATCTCAATGCAGAATTGTATGAACATTTATGACTATAGAGTTCATTCAACATTGCAAAATAGTTGCTCATTCCTTTTACCTTATCAAGCATTCAAGGGGATAAAAGTAACCAGTCTGTTGGCAGAAATCTGGAAGTAGAACGGTGACTTAATGTCTGCTTCACCATAATTATATCCTCAGGCCATGTGTGCTCTATTTGTGGACAACCTTTGGGATGAACGAATAAAAACAAACAACAAAAGCCACACCTATCAATTATATACCATACTGTCTTTTAGTCTGCTCAAACTTATTGATATTAGTGTAAACTGTAATTCTGACCTCCAAGTTGACACAAGGTTGTTTACAGTTGGTCAAGCAGTAACTGTTATTACATTTGTAGGTGCCAAATAGAACACAAAAGGTTGTGACCTCAAATCTCCCATAAGCCTCTGCAGTCACGCATGGGCAGCTTCTGTGATGGAAACTTAGAGACTTTGTATTTCGTTCTTGTTTCGCTGCCAAAAGTCGTAAGTTTTTTCCCACAACCCATCTTTGTTGTCAATATTGGAGTGGATAGCAGGGGATTCTTTGGTGCATTTCCGAGATTCAGTTTCCCACCAAGGGAAAATTTAGCCCTGACTTTTGACTGACAACAAATATTTTAGTGTTGTGTTCTGTTGTAACTGAGGAGAAGTAACCTTTATTTTGTGAGATTTATTTTAGAAAGTAGAAACATTGACTTTAACTTATTAACTGTATAATCAGAGCCCAGGTATGCTTTTACCTTTAGTAACTTGAAACAAATAGTTATCTTCTACAGATTGACTTAATTCAAAGTATGCGGAAATAGATAAATTTGCCTGTCTAACAGTAGTAACTGTTTATACAAATGACATCTTGGAGACTGAGTAAAGATTACATAAGGAAAATTTTAGGACGAACCGGTTGGGGCAATCAGTGTCAGAGAAGACTTATCTTAGTATTATCTTCATTATCACCCATTAGGACATCTTTCTTATGTCAAGCAAGCTGTCACTCCATCTCTTGATTAAGGATGCTTTTTCATTGAAAAATTACATTGTATCACACTGTTTGCCAAAGGGCAAGCTTAGGGGGATATGTATGTTGTACAACAAAACATCGATGTTGTGACCTGTTTACTGTGGTATACAGCAATCTGTCAGTGCCAGGTTAATGGTATGGTGTAGCGTAGGGCTGAATTCTTCTTCAAAGTTGTCCCACGCAGCTGTTTTTCCTTTGTGTTTGTGTTCAACTGGAATGAAGGACTCTCTACCAGTAGTCAAAGGCACTGCCCTTATGATTAGTTAGTGTGATGGAGAAACTTACGGGTAGTAAAATTTTAGTTTGGTCTCTTGTGACCTGCTACGTTTGTATTTCTTTCCTATTGTTGCAGTAAGAAAATTTCTACTAAACTGAAAAAAGGTTTTGATTTTTTTAAAAATTGTATACTGTATAATTCTCAGTTTAAGAGCTTTTGGACATGAATCCAGACCTGAACTTGAACAAGAGTTTAGGTACGCAGCAATAGTTCTGAATACATGTAGCACATCCTTTATGTGGCTTCTAATTGTCTGCCTTCCTATATATATAAAACAAGGCTGTCAGTGATTTTACCGCCAACTCAATATCCAAAACAAGTCATATTGTGAGGATTTACGACGAGACATTTAACTCTGTGTGGGCAAGGGTCAACTATTTTGATACTTACAACTGTAGAGTGGAATATTCCACTGGTTGAAGTTGTTGCTAACTATACCAGACCAGACTGGATTGGACTGGTTTGATCTACATTTGTAGTCACAGGTGATCATGAGTGGATTTTGCCTTTGAGAGAAGTTTGACAGTAACTGTTCCTGTCGCCTTGCTGGACTGAGATGTTTGGAGTGCCACCACCAGTGTCACTTCCTAAAGAGGATGAACTGAACTGAACTGAGCGTTCCTGTCAGGAGATTGATTGATGGGTTTGTCATCACTCGAACTTTTGTTTCCTAACACTTGTTCTTGTGAATTCGTTCTATATATGCATTTTGATTTGTATATATCCTCGGGAACTCTCCATCATGCTTTTTTTTTATGGCACATTTTTTAATTTTTGATTTATACAAGTTTGAGATATTGTGGTACAGTACTAAGTACAGTACAAATGTAGCTCATCCAGTCAACAAGAATATGCAAACTCTGAGATGTATATTTTCTGATGGTAGCTTTAAGGAGGTTAAAATACAGATTTAAACTGTATGTAAACCTCCTTGCAATTGGTAGCATCAAGGATGTTATACTTGTAGGGAACCTACTCTCACCTCTCGAATAAAAGTACCCCCTGGAATAGAAGTACCCCCCGGACAAATCTTCAAAATCTAATAAAAGTACCCCCTGGAATAAAAGTACCCCCCGGAAAATTTAAAAATTGACATGTAAGCAACGTCTATGCTCCAAAAATGTGTTCTCATGGTGTATATATATATATGTGTACGTCTGTATGACCTTGTCACTTGCAATTATTGACAGGTCCTGAATAAACATACCCCCTTGAATATGATTCCCCCAACAAATCTTCAAAACTTTATAAATATCAGGGATCTCCCCAGAAATTCAGAACAGGGTGGAGGAGGGTGGTCTGGAAACCCCCCCTCCATGGGGGGAAGCTATTGCATTTTGTCTTTTCCAAACACAAATGGAGGTCATTTCCTGCAACTTCAGTTCTACATTTTCTGTACAATTGCAGATGTATAAGGCAGGAGAAAGGTTCAAGATTTAAAAAAAAAAGTTCTATTAGCACCCTAATTTTGAAAAAAATTGGGCATAGGTTCCCCGGATGACCCCTAACCGGGGGCCAACGGTGCTTCCACAAGTTCAACAAGTGAAAAATACATGATACAAACTGTACATGTATTTACTACCTGGAACTTGGAGCAAGTTATTCCAAAGATGTACTTACTGACATTAATAAAAGTATATTAAAAACTAAACCAAATCCTATTTCCCAAACAAATCACATATTGACACAGCTGAACAAATAAAAATGTGATCATGTCTATAAACTCCACTCAAAAACAATTTTTGAGAGACACTCGGGTACTAAGCGTGATAATCTCTAATATCTCATCTGATTCTCCCAATGTAAAGGATCTTTACAATCACAGCATCCAACCGCACATACATAGAAACAACAATATTACACAAGAAACCAATAAATTCGGAAAATTTCTCAGTAATGTTTGAAAATTATTCTTATTAAAATATAAGTGAATTTTTATTTCAGTTGTAGCCGAAAAATATTTTTCATGCGTTTAAAGTATCGTTTTAGCACTGTAATATGTACTTAGTACATGTTTTATACATTTGGATGCTATCTTGACCTTTGACCACTGTTATTCTAAAAGCAGGTCGGCCATTTTGTCTTTCTCGCCGTGGCTTTTCGAGCCGTTTTTTCGAGCAAATTTTAACCATTTTAAACATTTTACGGCCTCAAAAACTCATACAACGAGGAAAACAAGTTGTAGTTGTTATTTTCATGCGTAACATTTCTTCTGGGGATGGTTTATTTTTCCGCCGAGCTGCCGAAAACTAGCGTCAAACCGCAACCATGCGGTTTCTTCGCGGCGGCCGGCGGGAGTTTTTGTATCGGAGCTTTCACGATGTAAACAAAGATAGTCGGAGTTGTTTATCTGAAAATTTTGTTGTGAAACGCCAGCGGGGTGTCAGATTTTCTACTAATGACAACGTTTTCTTTGTGGCGTCATGGCGAGATCGACAATTCATCGACAATTCACAGGAATTTGTGCCGACAATGGAATGAATTTTCCCGGAACTTTTCCGATTTTGAAAAAAGAAATAAACGTACCGTCTAAAATAAGAATGTACCGGGTGGATTTTGAGGCGAAAAAAATAAACGTCCCGGTACGTCTATTAAAGAGTTCAGAGTAAGCATCTTCCAGTGCAGTGGAAGGGTGATGACCGACCATAAAACCTTAAAATGGCTACATGTACATGTAAGCATGAGCTTGGCACGCTTGTCCTTGGAAGTC